TCCCTTCCGACCCTAGAATCTATGAAACTATGAAACTATTCATGGGAGGCACCACAAGCCCAAGGAATTGACATGACTAAATTGGAAGAAACATGGTGTACTGACATAGAACTTACTGCTGACTGTCTTCACAAGTGGTGCTTAAAGTAAAGCATCAGTAAATGAGGATCATCACTCTTCTACCTGGACAATCAAACCAAGAACATGTTGAATATCAGAGTAGGCAACCACATCCTTCCTCAAAAGCATAACCCAACCCAGGAGTCATGCATAATCATCACAGCCAGTAGGTCAGCAAAAAAGTCTCCTCATAGGTAGTAGCCTTAAGACTTTTAGGCAGCACAACATGGGCTGCCAACTTGAAAGTGCTCAGAACCACCACACTTGCAATGTTACATGCCCCTGCAGAATGCTGTGCTCCTGTATGGTCCAAACGTTGTCACACTCAGAAGCTCAACACTGTACTTACCAGTGCACTGAGACTCATACAGCTTGCATAACTTATACACAAAGGGTAAGTTTACACATGCTCCATTACTGTGCAATCCCACTGGTGCACAGGTCATTACCAACTCTATTGCACAATAGCAATCAGCTGTTGTGCAGTAGCATCAGCATCATGGTTCACTACATCACTGTAGCTCATCGCTACAGCATACTCGTATAGACACACTCACATAGATGTACTCTTTGTACCCTTGGGCATTAAGCCAAATACTGTAAGACAGACCCAACATCATTACTGGCAATAGAGGCAAGAGATGACAAAAATCACCTCCTCCATGATCTATTAACTGAAGACCCAAACAAATGGAGGCTTACAAGGCTTAAAATTTATAAACCATTTGTACATGAAACCCACAAGCTCCTGAAAAAAAATTGGGATGCTGGACCAAATCTATGGGCAGCAACAGAGTGGGCCAGCCGCTGGGAAAGGTCAGACCTACTCCAACAGCATTTTATACCAACACCAAATGAGTCCTCTATGACCTTGACAGAGAAGGCTGGGTCAATCTGAACAGACTGAGATATGGATACTGACACTTCAAAACAACACTTTATAACATGAACATCTTCGTCATTCCCCTGTGTGAATGTGGTGCCTTACAAACGGCACAATACTTAAACAAAAGTTGCAGTCTTTACACATTCCCAGACAGGACAGATGGAATCCACACATTGAGTGAAAATACCAGACAGTGGCTCATAGATTTGAAATTTGATATTTGACACCATACAAAAGTGAAGTGGGAGGTTATCTAAAATTCCATTTTGATACACAACAATGCTTCAAAAGCAAAAAAAATCAAACCCTTTAAGGTTCAATCACTCCAAGATCCCTATGACAAAGATAACGAAGGAATATTACTTACACTTCCCAATGCTTAGAGGAAAATATTGTCAAGGTGCAAGCTGTTCTATGACTGCTGTGCTGATACCTGGAAATATATGTTTTTAATCAGTTTTCCTTTTATTATATTTAGTATATGTAATAATAAATGTGTTGCAAAAATTTTAAATTATGTTAAACAGCTTTCTCATGAGCCTAAGCAATTATTTAATATTATTATTGCCTAGAAGTTACACTTTAATTTTCAAAGTATCCTATTTTCTTGTGCCCTTTTTAAAAATTTTTTTGACCTTGACTTTAAACATTCACCTCCATCTCTATAATTCACTTGATCCTCCCTTTTCTCCTAAATCAGTACTCAATCTGGAACCCATTGGGGTTGTTGCTGTGAGAGGGGAAGAGAGAGCTGAGAGAGGCTTTCTCTATCCCAACAGAAACTTTCCTCATTCTGCCTTTAGGCGGGAAAATACTGGGACAGAAAGCTCAGTTGCTCCAGTTCCAGAGCAGCCTGAGCCTGCAGATCATAAAAAGAGAGGGGCAGGGCCTAGGAGCAGGCTGAAAAACAAGTGGCCGAGCACGCAGCTGGGAAGAGCAGCTGGAGAGAGTAGAGCGGGGCAGGGCCCAGGAAAGGCACAGGCTGACAAGGCAGCAGTGGAGCAAGTGGCAGAGTGGAGCAAGTGGCAGAGTGGAGCAGCTTCAGGAAAACACCTCAGGGAGATAGGGCCTGAAGCCAGGAAGCCATGCCTAGACCACAGAGGGAATGGAGCCAGCTGCATGCCCTGGCAGAAGAACACTGAGGAGGAACTTGGGGAATTCCCAGCAGAGGCTGATGAGCCCAAGAGAGGAGCAAGGCAGAACACTGAGCATGGCTGAAGTGGGCCACACCTGGCCACAAAGGTACCCCTTGGGGAACTGCTGGAAAGCACCACAGAGCACCGCCAGGTGAAGTGGTGAAGCAGCCCATGGCCCCGCAGCTGGGAAGGGCATGTAGGATGACTCTAGGGAACCCCACAGCCAAGAGGCCTATGCAGAGGAGCAGAAGTTTTAGGGCTGAGCTGGGCCCCAGAGCTTCTAGCCACACAGAGAGCTGGGGTCAGGACTGAAGGCCAGGAACCCAGTGAAGGGACCCTCTGGAGGCTGGGAGGGTGCAGCAGAAGGCTGCCAAGCCCACAGCA